AGTATTTCACCATGTTGGCCAGGGTGGTCTCAATCTGTTGACCTCGTGATCCGCCTGCCTTGGCCTCCCAAAGTGCTGGGATTACAGGCATGAGCCACCGCACCCAGCCCGCCTCCTTGGGCTTTTTAAGGCCTAAAATAATTGCTTCCTCCTCCCCTACTTGCACTTTGGTCACACCACTGGAATAACATTGTCTTGATATAATGTGTATTACATAAAGGTCTTGTTCCTTTCTACAGTGCACTAGGAGAAGACTTACGTTTTAGATATCTGTATATTCTCCCTACCTAACACAGTTCCTGATAGCCAGTAAAAGCTTAATCTGTATCTGTTTAATGAAGGCTTGAGAAGAAACAAGGTGAGTTAAAGGTAAAATATGTCAAATTAAATTTAGGCTAACGTTGCCTCCTTACATAATTTATGTTCATCCTAAAGATTTCTTCATACATAGTTAACTGTACCCTATTCGGATGTGTAAACAGATTATAACCTGCTCTTGTGCAATCACCAAGTTTCAGACAGATGTAGCCCATTGTTCAAATCATGATCAAGTATGACAAATATAAAGAAAAATTGTAAAAATATCTCAGGATCTCAAACTTCCTTTGCAAAAGGAAAGGGTAAACCTGGAGGCCATCTTGCAACACTCTCTTCCAAATGAATAGCTATTGCTAGCATTATGCCAGATGGCCATGGAAAGGTAAAAGGCCTGAGGCATCTGTGGATGACTCTCCCATAGAACATTCACAGGTAAATTCCTTTATGGCCTACCACAAAAAAAAAGAGCATATCAACTGTAACTTTAGGTCTATAGTCTAACTCTTAAAGCTGAAGTCTGATTCCCCACTGACACTATGAATTGCAAGCTTATTTTCCCAGGTTCAGAACAAAAACAAGAGGAGATCAGTCATTCTTCCATCTACCCGGAGATGTCTGCATAATTGATTCTTCCTCTATTCCTCTTTTCTCTTTAAACATTCCCCTTATCTTATGTAAAATGTAGGTTTACTAGGCATTAACTAATGTCTCACAGGAATATAACTATTCGCCGTAACGCCTACCTGCCTCTCTTCCTACCTGCCTCCCCACACTTAAGGGAATGTATAAACATAAAAGCTCCTGAACACCTCTTCAGAAAACCTCGTTGCTTTTTCCCAGATGTGTCCTAGAGCTGGTTTATTAAACCTCGACTGATTGGAACTTCTGCCTCACTCATTTTGTTTGTCACACACGTCGAGCTGTAACCAGTCTAGCTGTTTCTGAACCTCACTTCTGTCTTCTGTACATCATTTTCTGTAGGTCACTTATATCTTCTTCTGCCCAAGAAACTTTTTCAGCCACGTGGCAGTGCCAAAGTCTCTCTGAACCTGTTCTGGTTTGGGAGGCTGCTCAATTTCTGAATGGTTCTTTGCTCAACTAAACTCTGTTAAATTTAATTATTCTAAGGTTTTTCTTTAAAGAAATATAAAGCCTGGGAAGCACAGTCTATTCACCTCAATGAATTTTATTCTTATCCAAACATTCCTATTGGCAAACTCTCAGGAACACAAAATATGCTTCACCAACTCTTATATATATAATAGAGCCTCCATCATTCTTCTAAGATGATTATCCTGGTCATTTAATACAGAAACCTAATGGACAAAGTTCCAGTTTACTGGTTCCTTTTATTAGAACCCCTATTAATAAGTTTAAGAAGGGGGCTGGTTCTATATTTCCTACTGTATAAAAATGAAATCTTTTTATATTACCTGACAGTAAAAATTCTCACTATTATAAACGTAGTTAGACAATGTAGCATGCAGCCCAGTGACCTGATGGAACTTCAAATCTGATGCTATGAAATTAGAACAGAAAATCAATTATATACCCTTGTGAAACAGTTGATTCTTTATTACAATTTAACTTGCCTTCCAGTCAAATGCCATTTTTGTTTTACTCCTGCTATACCAGTTTTCTGCCAATCAGTATCTTTAACACTGAAATGGAGTATCAGTTTCTATTTGGAAAATATGCACCATAAACTCTTCTTTGAAACTGGTTTATATTGTATTTCAATAAAATAATTCCATATTAGTTATTTTTCTCATGCTTTTGATGCTGTTTTTGAAATGTACAGTTTTACAGAGGTGCCCATGGGTAAGCCAAATGTCCTACGTAAGCAGCCAGTTCTGTTTCAAATGACTTTCTTCCCAGAGTCTCGTGGATGAGCCCCTACTGGCTGTTGAAACATAGAAGCTTTGTGTGATTTGAAACTCTCAGCTGGCTTTCCAGGCCCAAAGACACAGAGCCAGTGTGTAAAGAGAGATTCACTGATGCATAGCTTTCTTCTTTCTACTTAGCTTCTTACCCAGGATCTCTTGCTTTTTAGTGTTAATACCCCTGCTGCTGTGTTCCCACTGTGTGAGAGATTATGCCTACCATTTAAATAAAAGGTATTGGGCAAAAAGCAATGGATGACAATAACCTGACACCATTAAAGTACCTTTACTTCATTCATTTTCCCGTTTACCTGGAGGGAATCATTATCACCACGGTAGTTTTTAACATGCTGTGTATTTTTCAGGCAAACTGAAGGCCTTTTGTGCTGGGTTAGGATGATGAGTTGAGTAAGGCTTGCAAGAAGTGGCGCTATTCTAGTGTGAGAGGAAAGATTGCAGACTTTAAATGCACAGTTGTAGAATGAAGTGGCTGAGAAAACACACCTTGCTTTGGTAAATATGGCCCAAAACTAGATTCTACATTGAAATTATTATATTTTAAAAATAATGTTCTAAAGCTTCAGTGGCAAGGAATTAAATAAACTCTACATTAATAAAAAGACTAATCATCTCACCAATACACATCGGGTCCATGGACCCCATTCAGATATCACACAGTCCTCGGGGCATGGTAATTTGCACTCTCTAGAGCCCAGAGGCATCTCTTCTGGGTCACAGAGGTAATCCTCTACATGTTCAGAAGGGCCATCTGCTGTATTCTGCATGCATCTAGAAAAGAACATAAACAGATTCTAGAAAATACATATATTTTCTAGAAGAGAAGAAAACACGACAGTTAGAATAATGACCAACCCACAGGACAGATGGTTCTCCTTAAGACATTGTTATGGGGGTGGGGAGTAGGAAGCTTTGTTATCTAATAAGTAAAATTCTCCAAAAATGAAAACTTAACAGGATCTTCGCCTCTCCTAATTATCTGTAGTGCTTCTGCATGATTCAAAAATGTATGTCTGCATTCATGAGTCTTTGAATAAAAGAGCCACTGTGGATATGTAAACTCTGCATGTTAGGTGAGCTTCCCCTGAAAGAAGAGGGTTATTTATACACGTATGAAGCAGAAAGTACTGAGGAATTCTTCAAAGAACTTCATAGAGAGCTTATAATTGGGAATATAATACATTTATTCTTCCCAAGAAAATGATGGATTCCACAGAGAAGGTAGAATTAGTTGATTCATATGTGATGAAAGACCAGGCACACTGAAATCTCTAAGTGGGCAATTTCTTTAAGTGTTTTTGAAAATAACTAGAGGCATTTATCAATTTGTTTTGCCATCTTAGAAGTAATTTTAGCCTCCCTTCTGCTGTGACTCTTCAAGTGACAAGCAAAAAGACAATTATAATTGGTATAGCACAGGTTCTCTAAATATGGTTATTTGGATTTTTCTACTACTTAAAAAAATTGTTAGTTTGTGTTCCATTTTATTCTCTTGTAAGCAGTCAGGAAGGCCTCTTTATTCATCTTTTGGGAATCTTATTAATGTGGCTAGTATGGGACTTCACTTTTACCATAGTAAATAATCTCTCTGGGCAATTTTAAGTATTACAGTAGGAGAGAAAACCCTTTATCTTTCATGTATAACTTGGAAAAGTTCAGGTACCTTAATAGATTTAGGAAGATAACTGCATTTGAGGAGGTGAAAAGGAAGGCTTGACTCCCCAGTTTCTCAAACCTAGTGTAATGTTTCAAAATATCAGTTGAATTCTATTGCCACTGATACCTGGAATCCCAACTTTTCTCTGTGCTGTTGGTCATGTCTTAATCGGACTTATAGCCTGAAAAAATTACCCATATGCTGGATAAATATGTAAAAAGCAATCACAAAAATATGCAAATTAGACATTGATACAATTTCATTGTTGAAAGAATAAATCAAATTAGGAATATTTTTAGGATAATTTTAGTTTCCCAGGAAAACGTTCTACCTTCAATATCATTTAAAAAACGTTCTGTTGACAGCAGGTTAGAGACAACACGTTGCAGATGGCATTTCAGTGCTCAAAGGTTGGATTTACTCCTAAGAATAGATTACACTTGCAGTACATACTGTCACTAGATATAAGGATTAACTTGTAGAATTACCTATTGATCCAGAGTTAAGAACAGATATCTAACACTCTATTCAGCAGTTATGTACATAAATATTTTCAAAGATTTCTCTTGATATGATTTGGATCTGTGTCTCCTCCCAAATCTCATGTTGAATTGGAATTCTCAGTGTTGGAGGAGGGGCCTCCAACACTGAGATCACTAGATCATGGGGGCAGATGTTCCCCTTGCTGTTCTCATGACAGTGAGTTATCATGAGATCTGATGGTTTAAACATGTGCAGCACTTCCCCCTTTGCCCTTCCTCTCTCTTGCCATCATGTGAAGATATGCTTGCCTTCCCTTTGCCCTTACGCCATGATTGTAAGTCTCCTGACGCCTCCCCAGAAACAGAAGCCTATACAATCCACAGAACCATGAGCTAATTAAACCTCTTTTCTTTACAAATTACCCCGTCTTGGGTAGTTCTTTAATAGCAGTGTGAAAACGAATACAGAAAATTGGTATAGGCGAAGTGAGGCATTGCTACAAAGATACCTGAAAAAGCAAAAACAGCTATGGAACTGGGTAATGGGCAGAGGTTGGAACAGTTTGGAGGGATCAGAAGAAGACAGGAAGATGAGGGAAAGTTTAGATCTTCCTGAAGACTTGATGAATGATGGTGACCAAAATGCTGGTAGAAATATAGATGGTAAAATCCAGGCTGAGGTGTTCTCAGATGGAGATGAGGAACTTACTGGAAAGTGGAGTAAAGCTCACTTTTGCTATACTTCAGCAAAGAGATGGGTGGCATTGTGCCTGTACTCTAGAGATTTGTGGAATTTAAACTTCAGAGAGATAATTTAGGGTATTTGGTGGAAGAAATTTCTAAGCAGCAAAGCATTCAAGATGTCACCTGGTTGCTTCTAAAAGTGTACACTCATTTGCATAAACAGAGAAATGACCCCAAACTGGAGCTTATATTTCAAAGGGAAGTAGAACATAAAAGTTTAGAAAATTTGCAGCCCAGCCATGTGGTAGAAAAGAAAACCCCATTTTCTGGGAAGGAACTCAAGCCAGATGCAGAAATTTGCATAAGTAAAGAAGAGCCAAGTGTCAGTAGCCAAGACAATGGGGAAAATGCCCCCAAAATGTTTCAGACACCTTCATGGTGGCCACTCCCATCACAGGCCCAGAGGCCTAGGAGGGAAAATTGGGTTTGTGGGACAGGCTCATGGCTCCACTGCTCTGTGCAGCCTCAGGACGTGGCACCCTGCAACTCAGCCTCTCCAGCTCCAGCCATGGCTAAAAGGAGCCAATGTACAGTTCAGGTTGTTGGTTTAGAGGGTGCAATTCCCAAGCCTTTGTGGCTTCTACATGGCATTGGGCCTATGGGTGCACAGAAAGCAAGAAAGAGTTCAGGCTTGGGAGTCCCCACCTGGATTTTAGAGGATGTATGGAAATGGACTGGATGTCCTAGCAGAAGTCTGCTGCAGGGTGGAGCCTTCAGTACTAGGCCAATGTGAGGTGGAATTGTGGGGTTGGACCCCCTTCATAGAATCCCCACTGCGGCACTGCCTAGTGAAGCTGTGGAAGTAGGGCCACCATCTTCCAGACCTAAGAATGACAGATCCACTGACAGCTTGCACTGTGCACCTGGGAAAGCTACAGACACTAAATGCCAGCCCATGAAAGCAGACTTGGGGACCATACCCTGCAGAAGCACAGAGGTCAAGCTGCCCAAAGCCTTGGGAACTCCTGCCCTTGTGTCATTGTGACCTGGATGTGAAACATGGAGTCAAAGGAGATAATTTTGGGACTTTAAAATTTAATGACTTATCTGCTGGGTTTTGGACTTGCATGGGGTCTGTTGCCTCTTTGTTTTGGCCAATTTCTCGCATATGGAATGGGAGAACTGTATCTTGGAAGTAACTAACTTGTTTTTGATTTACAGGTTCATAGGCAGAAGGGACTTGCCTTGTCTCAGATAAGATTTTGGATTTGGACTTTGGAGTTAATGCTAGAATGTGTTAAGGCTTTGGGGGACTGCTGGGAGGCATGGTTGTGTTTTGAAATGTGAGGAGTAGATGAGATTTGGGAGGGGCCAAGGTGGAATGATATGGTTTGGCTCTGTATCTCCACCCAAATCTCATGTTAAATTGTAATTCCCAAAGTTGAGGGAAGGACCTGATGAAAAGTGATTGGATCATAGGGCAGATTTTTCCTTTGCTGTTCTCATGATAGTGAGTTCTTGAGATTTGTCACTATTTTTATATTTATTTATGAGACAGAATCTCTCTCTGTTGCCCAGGCTGGAGTGCAGTGGCATGATCTCGGCTCACTGCAACCTCCGACTCCTGGGTTCAAGTGATTGTCCTGCTTCAGCCTCCTGAGTAGCTGGGACTACAGTCTCATGCCACCACACTCAGCTAATTTTTTATTTTTAGTAGAGACAGGTTTTCACCATGTTAGCCAGGATGGTCTCAATCTCTTGACCTCGTGATCCATCCGCCTCACCCTCCCAAAGTGCTAGGATTATAGGCATGAGCCACCACACCTGGCCAAACCTCTTTTCTTTATAAATTACCCAGTCTTAGGTAGTTCTGTATAGCACTGTGAGAACAGATTAATACATCTCTCTTATTTTTATGTTTTGTTATACAAGTTATATATTCCTTTTAAGAAATCAGAAGTAATAAAAATTTCCATAATTTCATCAGAGATAGCCTACACTTAACAGATATTTATTAATAGAATATTACTTTAAATGTATATTTTCATTTTACAAAATAGAAGCAAACTTTACAGACTATTTCTGCCATTTAAAAAATCTACAGTACATTATGAACATCTTCTTGTCATTAACTATTTTTCTAAGACATATTTTAATGCCTGCATTTAAATTCCATGGCTTAAATGTGCCACAATTGCTAAAAATCTCCTAGTGTGAAGGCTACTATCCAGAATCTATGGAGAACTTAAACAAATGTGCAAGAAAAAAACAAACAACCCCATCAAAAAGTGGGCAAAGGATATGAACAGACACTTTTTGAAAGAAGACGTTTATGCAGCCAAGAAACATATGAAAAAAAAGCTCATTATCACTGATCATTACAGAATTGCAAATCAAAACCGTATTGAGATACCACCTCATGCCACTTAGTATGGTGATCATTAAAAATCAGGAAATAACAGATGCTGGAGAGGATATGGAGAAATAGGAATGCTTTTATACTGTTGGTGGGAGTGTAAATTAAGTCAACCATTGTGGAAGACACTGTAGTAATTCCTCAAGGATATAGAAATAGAAATACCATTAAACACAGCAATCCCATTACTGGGTATATACACAAAGGATTATAAATCATTCTACTATGAAGACACATGCACACGTACATTTACTGCGGCACTGTTTACGATAGCAAAGACTTGGAACCAACCCAAATCCCCATCAATGATAGACTGGATCAACAAAATGTGGTACACATCCTCTATGGAATACTGTGCAGCCATAAAAAAGGATGAGTTCATGTCCTTTGCAGGGACGTGGATGAAACTGGAAACGATCATTCTCAGCAAACTAACACAGAACAGAAAACCAAACACTGCATGTTCTCACTCAAAGTGGGTGTTCAACAATGAGAACACATGGACGTCACACACTGGGGCTTGGGGGGTGGAGGACTGGGGGAAGAACAGCAGCAGGTGGAGGGATCAGAGACGGATAGCATTAGGAGACATACCTAATGTAGATGAGGGGGCGATGGATGCAGCAAACCACCACTATGGCACGTGTATACCTAAGTAACAAACCTGCACGATCTGCACATGTGCCCCAGAACTTAAGGTATAATTTAAAAAAAAATTCTTAAGAGAAAAAAAAATGCACAAAGAAGTCCTAGGCTGAAAGTTTTCTCATATAAAATGTAAACCCTTCATTGACATACAGAGACTAAAATTATCTTAAGTGCAAGCAAACATTGTATTTGATGTTAAAAAATTAAATAAAATTACATTTAGTAAATCATCAAATAAAGTTTCTATTGTGGCATTTAGACTACTTACAGGCTTTATTTGTGTTACTTTGTATTACAAATTTTTATAATCACCCGAGAATACAGAATAAATATTTGGATCAAGTTTTCAGCACAAAGGAAGGCGCTTTAAATTCCTTTGCTTTCTTCAAATTCTTGGCCTTTCTCCTTTCTAAGGAGCAAGAATTATGCTGTGAGAAAACTGACCTGTATTAGAGATTCATGGTGTAGAACCAAGTCGCAGGTAAACGGTGGAGTCAGAGGCCCATCATAGGTGTGTTAATGTGTATTTTCTGCATATATTTGAAAAGCAGTAATAACTAGATCTGTCTGCTTTCTATTATCACCAGGTACTGGCAATTCTAAAAAAAGTCATGAAAAAAAATCCCTCCCTACTAAGGCAAACCACTTCTACCACCAGTCCTTGATAGGCCGTGGCAACCTTAAAGAGGAAGAGTGTAACTGAATAAATTTCAACCTGCTTTTTTATAGACCCACCTATCCTGAATGTCACCCAGCGCTTGCATTGAAGCAGGACATTTTGACCTTCATTAGCAGAGGATAATGTACGGGAGGTGTACTACTCAATCAGTAACAAAGAGGAACATCATTACATGATTAGAGATCGCAATCAATACTGACCTCTTTTCTCTATTTGCATTGAAGTTGTTTACTGAAAAACTAAATTGATCTGAAAAGTTACTTTGCTTAGAATGTGTTTGGAAATGATGAGAATATCTATTTACAAAAAAAAAAAAAAATAAAAAAAAAAAAAAAAAAAAAAAAAAAAAAAAAAAAAAAGTAACATGTCCACAGATAGGAAAGGCTGTAAAAAACAACCCAGTAGTTCTTTTACTGTAGTTTTTTTGCTTTGTTTTGTTTTTTACTAACTAAACAACCAACCGGACCAAATTCTTAATGTAACATTTTTTAATTTTGAAGAAAAAATTACTTTGAAAGGAGAATAGTGGAAAACAGAATCTCTTGTTTTTTTCTGTGTCTCTATCTACTCATTACCTCCCTCCTCCTTCCCTATTCCCAGTCCACCTATATTATGATGCTGAAAGAAATAACTAGAGAGTTCAGATGTGCTTTTGAGAAAAGAAATAGAAAACTTTTTATTAGAAACAAAGTTATACATAAGTATATATGCAAAAGTTTTATATGGTAAAACAAATAGTAACTTGTTCTGCTTTCTAACTGAAGTATATTAAAAATTGTCAATCTAAAACGCATGAAAGTTTACGTTATGGGTAAGAATGAACTTCTTCATCACATGGTTGTGGAGTTTCACATTTGTCTTTCTGGGCGTCACTGAGAAGGGTTAAAAGAAACCAGTGTTTTTAAAAAGAGTGACAGGAGACTTGGGTTTGAATGCCAATGCTGCCACTTTACTAGATGGGTGTTCTCGGTATGTTATTTAGTACTTGGGAATAGAATCTGTAAAATGGAGGTGATGAAATCTCGTGTACTTGTTTTCACAGAGTTCTAGAGCCCTTAAGCGTCACGTGATAGATGCTGTATGGAAAATTTAGTGAGTATCAATGTTGTGTTAGGCAGTAGGGAAATCCTATGAATATGATGGGGTCTCTGTTTTAAGAAATTTATAAAGTTTTATTAAGGGGATAGACATGAAAATGTGTCTTTTCAACCCAGTGAGGGGTATATGGGGTGTTATAGAACAACCCCGTCCAGTGGAACTTTCTGCCATGACAAAAATATTATGTTTGTGCTGTCCACAGGCGGCTATGGAGCACTGAAGTATAGCTAGCATGACTAGGGAGAGGCATTTCAAAATTAATTTAATCTAAATGTGTTTAAATTTAAATTGAGCTAGTGTGGCTAGTGGCTATTCTATTGAACACTGCAGCTACGGAAGAACAAGTGACAGGCAAGAACCAGCTGGGGGGTTTCAGAGAAAGTTCCCTGGATAAGAGGAGAATATTCAGTTAGCCAGTTTGATACACAAGAGCAAGAGTTTAAAACAGATTATTTAAAAAATGACCTTGGAAATATATCTGGCCTTTAAGCAAAAAAGTTATTGGGGTTGAAAATTTGCGTTAGTTCAGATTGAATGTGCTGTTCCTTGTCTTTAAGGGTATTTGAAGGGAAGATTTCTAAATCAGAAGGCCAGAATGTAATGAACTGCTGCGTGAAGCAGATCCACTTAGTTTTCCATGAGCACAGATCCCCTAAAAGCAAAACCACAGACTATTTTATCCGCAATCCTGGGGAGGACTAAACAGTCATTTTGGCACGTGTGCAATTGGGAGATGGTTTTGTGTCTTGCCTCTCTGTGTAATTAGGCTTTGCCTTACCTCACTTTTCGGGTTTGCACGCCCTCTCCACAGTTCTCCCGCATATTCACAAAGGTCACCTTGCAGATGCTCCAGGGCTCTGTGACCCACAGGTACTGGTTGCAGTCGCTGTGGCATGGAACAACCTCATACACCTGAAACACACATGGTTCTCAGCAATCTCAGGGAATCTGATAAGAGGGAGTGGGAGGACTTCCACACCATAACAACAATCATTTCACAGCTAAGCTACTTTCATTCCTCTCCTTTATTGCTTATTATTCTAAGGTAGCAATAGAGAGAACGCAAAAGTTCTAGCAGTAGAGGACAGGGCTAAACATGTTGTAATCTGTTGCTGTACTATGACATTGCAGGTCTAAATCTGATCCACTGGATCACATTAGATGTTACATATTTTCCTGTGCTGACCCTTAACACACTGTATTGTAATTTTCTGGACTGTCTGTCTCATTTACACTTTTGTGTGTCTTCAGTACTAGCCCAGGGTGCTTACATGTTAGGCACTCAACAGGGATTTGCTGAATGAATGAATGGAAGATGACTTGATGAACTAAATAAGTATACAAACATAGCTTTTTTCCAAATAAATATAATTTGGCCTATTTTCCAGATAAATATATATAATGATGAGAGTTTACATTTTTTTGGTGTGTATCATATGAGAAACTAAATTAAAAAGATAATATGAAATAAAGCCATCTTAACACTAATCCTCAATCATTTAAGGCTTAGAAGCAGAGTCTGGTCTACAACCCTAAGCAGCGAGGGCCACATGAAACAAAGCCAATTGTCTCTGTTCCAGTGTCCATAAAGGCTTTTAGTCCCACATTTGGGGTGGTGTGCTTGTTTTCAGGGTTTTTAGTACAATGAACCAACTATATTCTTTTTTCAATGAGAAGAATGACTAAATAAAGGAAATAACTGGCACTTAATCAAGAGCTGACTCAACCATTAAATTCTTTGAAAGTATTTTTCTAATCTACGATAACTCCAACTCTATTTCTTATTTTACTCACACACATACACACACACACACACACACACACACACACACACACACTCACATACCCAGAGAGAGAGCAAGACAGAGACAGAGAGAAAGAGAGAGAAACTACAGCATAAAAATGTTTTATGAAATAAATTCTAGAAAGGATAGATTTAAATAGCCCTTTGGATCCATTCTTTTGTGCCAATTTTAGTGAACTAAAAACCCAAGTAAAATGAATAAAGTGGACTTGTTTTAAATAGGAATAATAAATGCATTGGTGGAGTCAAATTCTGCAATGATTGCCATAGGCTGATTACATTCGCACTTAGGTGGTGTATTAAAATAGAACTAAATAGCACCGGATAAAACACTACCCTACAACTCATGATGAAGAGAAAACCTAAAGGAGAAAATGCAGTTCTTCCTAATCTTTTGACGGCTTTTATTTAATCTTGTGTATTGAAGTGAATACCAATCACTTCAGAACAATCTCCAACCCACCCATTTTCAGTGTACTTGCACTGTTTCCTTCTCCCTCTGAAGAGCGCACGACCATCAATAATGGGTGCCACTGCCTGTCAAGGTAAGTGGAATAAAACTTTTTCTCCCCAACTCTTGTTCATCTGTTTTTGATATTACAATGAAGGATATGAAAATGAAGGAACACAGGTAACTATTCTAGAAAATAAAAAGGAAACAGGTACAGACAAAAAATCTTTAATGGAAAATGTGGTATTTCCTCCCTGTAAAACATACAAGACAAGGCAAGAAGAGAAATGCATTCTCAGAAATCAGAATTTTTTTAATAGACGCATTCTATCAAGAACCATGAGGTTTAAGGGTTCTTACCTGTGCCTGCAGTGACGTTCAACAGGAGTGATGAAACGGGAGAAAAACAAGACAGGTGAAAACGTCAGTTTGTGATGAGAAGAACTCTTGGTAAGTTTCAAGTATTATTACTTATACGTAAAACCTACTTTTTTGGTAAAATATTAGAATGTTTTTCTTAGGTATTAGGAAATAATATATAACTACTTATTGTTGTTGAAAAGTAAGGTGCACAAATTAGTATTGTGAATAGCACAATGAGAAAATTAGATGGGTAGGATGAAGAAATCTTAGAAAACTGAGTTGACCTCAAAATACATAACATGGGGAATTGATACATGATACAAATAACTTGTAATCCAACTTGTCAGTGAACTACTGTCTATCAGTATATTTATAGATTGATCCACCCATTGATTTACCTTAATCAATTTATAAGTTTTGTAGAAAATGAGGATTTGAGGACTTCCTTCCTCAGTTAGAAAAATGGAAACTCAGAGACCATTTTCAAGCCAACGGGCTTCTGATTATTTTACTGAGGAATGTATAATTGTAGTAAACCTCTATGTGACTCATAATTTTCAACATTAACACAAAACTACACATCTTCTTTATGTTCCCTAAGTATCTTATTAATTCCCTAAGTATCTTATTAATTCACAAATTCACAGAAGTTTCTATTTTTTATAAAATATTTATGCTCAAATGTTCAAAAATTTTTTAGTTTTAGATTTGATTTTGTTAATGTCTCAATAAACCTTCAGTAAACCGATACTAAGTCACAACACCACTATCAAGCTGCATCAGAATGTATCAGTGTTGGAGAGTGACAGAGAAATGGCTAGGAATAAACACCAGGAATAGCAAAGACAACTTGGCCTAAGGTCTTGAACCTGTGGAAACTTACCCTTAAGGAGAATCTGAGGAAACACAGCTGATTTTAATTGCATATCTGACTGGGTATACACATACAGGCTAAAGTAAAGTAGCTATGAGTATGTGTAGAATTTCTCTTTATTAGGATCGTGAATCATACATAATTTATTAAAATTTACATTTGCTACTGAATATTCAAAGTTTCAAAATTTGTAGAGAAATATGCTTTTGTATTGTGAACATTTTAGTTCAGTTATTCTGTTTTACAGTTATATAATCAGAGTTGTGGAACTGATTTTTCTTCTTTGGAAATTTCCGTAGCATCTTAGAAATGCAAAATGCTCTGTGACAGGGAGGCTAACCTACCAGTAGATGGCAGCAAGGGAGTGTCTTATTTACCCTCCCTTGCACCTAAAGTCAGCAACTTTAGTTGGGGAACAATCGAGACTCTTTAGAGTACTTTTTATAGAATTTAATTTGTCATGACCGTCACCTTAATTTACTTAATGCCAAAGTTCTTTCTGTTTTCTCTACAATGTACTTTTATTACGAACAAAGTTATGTTAATCTGGGAAGGAAAGTATGTATACCCGTGAGCAGTGTGTTTCGAGATTAAAATTAGTCTATGTATGTATGAAACAACTCTACGTATTTAAGGACTTGATTCATTTGATTGTGATTTAAATTCAAATACGAAACTTAACACCCACACATAATGTATGAAATTATTCTTTGTTAATTCACATGTAGGCAAAACATGGTCATAACTGTTTGATTATGTTACATTTCATTTAAATTAGTCACACTTCCTCCATTAGGATTTTTACTATTCATCTCTAATAGAACAGAAAAACAACTAGTAACAGTAGGTCAGAAAGAATACATCATTCAGAGTTGCAAATGAAACTGAAAATGGTCAATGACTAAACTGACAGCATACTTACAGTGACTTTGAAGCCATCTTTGTATTTCTTTTTCTCAATTTGTTTTATATCAAACACATTTAAACAAACAGTATATATTTTTCCTAATTTTAGACCCAAATCCATTTTATTTCTTTGATCTTAATTTAAGTAGTTGGTAATTGAGATGTCTTTTCTGACAGTCTGGGGAAACTTTAAGAATGAGATAGTCTCGGCCTGCGTGTTAAGATACAATTTTATGACAGATTAAATACCTTGACATTATTTCACAGATAGGTGTCATTGTTCTCTCCATTGAATTATATACATACTCATATACTTGCAGGGCATGGAATCTCCAGAGAATACAGAGATTATGTTTAATTTGGGATTTTAATAACATACATGCATTTCCTAAGGCATTCTAATGGTAAAAATGGATCAGATTTCTTATTCAGTAGCTATTGTTTACTCTTTTATTATTTAACTGGTAAAAATGGGTCAGATTTCTTATTCCATAGCTATTATTTCCTCTGATTTTGGAGAAAAAAATCAGATCATTGTGAATCTAAACAATACCTTCATACTCTGAATGATAGAAAATACCTGGTTGACATGGTCCAGTTTGGGGCAAGGCCTTCCTCCATTATACGGCTTTTCTCGCAGCCATTTAGACCGAACCTTCACACCACTCCCACAGGACTTGCTGCAGCGCGACCAGTTGGACCATTCACTAAGCTTGCAGTCTGAGGGGCAGGGGATGATGCAGGCCTCTTCAATGTAACCTGAGTGGAGGAAAATGAGACAACAATCATCTCCTCCACTTGTCACTCTCCCACTACCACCCACTATTCTAGCTCATTTAAAAGGTCCAAGGCTGACTTGACAGCAGCATGCAAATGCAGAGGTGTCTCCGTTGTTAGGGACTCAAATTAAATTCTGCAGGAAAATGACACATACATACAGCGACTCTGTTAAAATAACAGCTGAGAAGCTGCCACGTGATCTGCTTAGGATTCATGCTCACCATATTTCAACATTTCTGACTTTCTGACAGCTCGTATTTAATTGACAATAACCTGTCTGCTGCCATATCATTCTCATGCTGACAGAATGATACATTAAAAAATTGTAAGTTTTCTATAAAACCCTATCTGTTAATGTCACACAAGTACAGAGTTCTGAGTCCATGCAACCTGCTTTCTTAAGAAAAAAATCCCAGTCCCTTTCACTTAATACCCAAAAGGAACCATTTAACTTAGCAGCTTGTGTTTCTCCTTCTTTGAAAAGCAATTCTGAAGAAAAATGAAGGATGTTAAGTAATGTCTCATATTTTACCATGCTGTCACTTTCAAGGCACCTTCATATCTTGTATCATTGGATTCTGTTGAAAATCTTACATATGAATTGTACAAGTCTTGATATTCTGGCAGCCAGTTAAGAAAACAAATGCAGAGCGATGACTGACTGAGTCTAAGGTTACACAGTAAGAGATGGGGAAAAGTTTCCTGAGGTCTAATCCAGTAGTCATTCCGTCAAATCACCCAGCCAATTCAGTTAATAGTGCACAGATTTGTTTTGGGAAATGGGAGCGTTTTCTTTGAAGTTCTTAACTATGAACTTGCCTTTTCATAATATCAATTAAAGAATATTATTCTCAAGGCAAACATGTGAAAACAGCAAAATTCCTCTGGTCAAGAATGAAATGCACGGTTGTCCTCTATGTTACTCTTTACTCTGAATGTGGAGAGAGGGTGTTCTTGCTACAAGTAAACACTGTGCCTTCCCATTTTATCTCAACAGCAGAGATTCAATTTTGACAATGATTATAATGTCAACAGTTGATACTAGGCAACTCCAGGTATATTTTAAAGAATTTATGGAGATATAATTCATATGCCATAAAAATAACCTCGTTTTGGTTTTCAGTATGTTTGCTAAGTTGTGCAACCAACACCACCATCTAATTTTAGAACATGTGTTTTACCCTAAAAATAAACCCTATGGTTACCAGCAGTCACTTCCTATTTTCCCCTTCCTCATCCCCTGCCAATGATGAATCTACTTTCTGTATCTATGAATTTACCTAACCTAGACATTCCGTATAAGTGAAATAAAACATTATATGATCTTATTTCTCTTATTTTTTGTTTTAAAGGTGGTGTCTTACACTGTCTCCCAGGCTGGAGGGCAGCGGTGTCATCATAGCTCACTGTAGCCTTGACCTCCTGTCCTCAAGAGATCCTTCTACCTCAGCCTTTTCAGTAGCTTGGCTGGGACAAAGGGTGCACACCAAGCTAATTTTTATATTTTTTATAGAGATGAGGTCTTACCGTGTTGCTCAGGTTAGTCTAGAACTTCTAGTCTCAAGTGGTCCTTGGCCTCCCAAAGTATTCAGATTACAGGTGTGAATCACCATGCCTGGCTGGCTTCTTTCACTCAGTACAATGTTTTCAAGATTCATTTATGTTATAGCATGTATCATTACCTCAGTCCTTCCTATGATTGGATAATATTCCACTGTATGGACATTTCACATTTTGTTTATCCACTCATCAGTTAACGGACATTTGAGTTGTTTTCAGTTTTTGTCTATCATGAATAATGGTGCTATGAACATCTGTTTACAAGCTTCTGTGTGGGCATACATTTTCAATTTCCTTTAATATATATTATGCATAGTTCAATTCCCTCTAATATATATGAAATTGCTCAGTCATATGGTAACTCCTATTTAACTTTTTCAGGAAGTGTCAAACTGTTTTCCAAAACGACTGCACCACTTTATATTCTACCAGATACGTATGCATGTTCCAATTTCTACAAATTCTTGTCACACTTGTTATTGTCTCTTTTTGAAATTTTAGTGTTCTTTGAAGAACAAAAGTTTTAAACGTAAATGAAGTCCACTTTATCTTTTTCCTTGGTTTTAAATGCTTCTGTATTATATCTAGGAACCCATTTCCTAAGCCAAGTTCATCTAGGTTTACAGTAGTGTTTTCTCATGAGAATTTTATAGTTTTAGCTCTTATATTTAGGTATGTATTTCGAGTTAACTTTTATTTATGATAAAAAGTAGGGGCCTAATTTCATTCTTTTACATGCGGTTATTGAGTTAAAATGTCCTCAGTTGTTGAAAAAATGATTCTTTTCTAATTGAATTGTTTTGGGACCCTTGTTGAAAATGAGTTGACCATAATGGAAGTAATTATTTTTGAACGGTGAATTCTATTCCATTTATCTCTGTCTAGTCTCATGATAGTACTACACAGTCTTCATGACTATAACTTTGTAGCAAGTATTGAAATCTGGATGTGTGAGTCTTCCTACTTTGTTTTTCCTGTTAAAGATAGGTTTGGCTATTGTGAGTCAAATTTCTTTATGCATTTTAGAATGAGATTGTCAATTTCTGCAAAAAAATTGCAGCTAGGATTTTGATAGGGATTGTGTCAAATTTGTTGTTCAATTTGGAAGTACTGCCTTCTTAATTCAGACACACCAAATTTATTTCCATTTTTATAGATCTTTAGTTTCTTTAAATGATGTTTTATAGTTTTCAGTGTATAGGTCTCAAACTTGTTATATTTATTCCTATTTTATTCTTTTTGTTGTAGGAAGATTTAAGAAAGAACCAACAAACATTAATTTTTTTTTCTTTTCTTTTTTTTGAGATAGGGTCTCATGCTGTCACCCAGGATGGAATGCTGTGGTGTGATCTTGGCTCACTGAAATCTCTGCCTCCTGGGTTCAAGCAATTCTCCTGCCACAGCCTCCCAAGTAGCTGGGACCACAGGCATGTGCCACCACACCTGGCTAATTTTTTGTATTTTTAGAAGAGATGGGGTTTCACCATGTTGGCCACACTGGTCTCAAAGTCCTGACCTTGTGATCCACCGGACTCAATATCCCAAAACGCTGAGATTACAGGCTTGAGCCTCTGCACCTGGCCAATTTCTTTAATTTAGAAAAATGAGACCACTTTTAAACCAAAATGGCAAATTTAATCTATATGATTGTGCTCAAACTGTCCTGTATTGAAATAGTGCTAAAATATGATTTAATTTACTATATAGTATTTACTAGCCTTGCCTAATCATAAATTATCTGAGACACATGTTAAAAACATAAGCTCCCACCACTCTCAAGTTATTGACGATACAAACCATCGCACTTATTCAGGTTTCCAAGTTTTACTTTTACTCATTTGTGTATGTGACTGTAACGGACTTAAGTTAGGAAATGTTACTGTAAGAAACAGGCAGAACCAAAACAATGGAAGATAAATAGATTTCTGGCATCTTTTTATGTAGTATCGCCTGTACAGTTGTCAAAGGTATTTGTTTTAAAGTTCGTATTGTAGTCTTCATACACAAAAGTGCATTTTTCTATAGATGTAAATTTCATTGAACACACCCATGAAATCAATAGTCCAGAATCCTCCTTTGTGTTCCCTTTCAGCCACTACCCATTCTTACAAGAGGAACAACTATCCTCACTACTCACAGTGTAGAATAGTTTCACTTTTTAAAAATTTCAGGTAAATAGACTCATATACTGTATATCCGTTTGTGTTAGCCTTTTCACTCTACATTGTGATGTGCATTTCATTCGTATTGGTGCATATAGCTGAAGACTGCTTATCTAGTTGATGTGTAGCATTCTATTGTGTGAACATACTATGGTTTATTCATTCTGTTGTTGGTGAGCATTTAGGTAATTTTCAATATGGGGGCATTATTAACTTTGCTGCTATGAATATTCTAGAATGTGTCTTTGATGGACATATGTATGCATTTCTGTTTTACGTACTCCTAGAAGAGAAATGGATTGATCAGATGGTATGTACATTATATCATCCATTGTAAATATAGTATAAATTTTAAAAAATGGGATCACAAATTTGGCATGAAGATTAAGATACAATGAAAAGTTTTGAAAGTGGGGATGAATCCCAGATAATCTTCTGGAGAGCAGACATGGCAGAGTCGGGATTTTGTTTGTTGTGAGACATAGAAGACAGAAAGAAGATGGCAGTGCTAAGTTTCTAATGTACTGTTGATACTCAAGATGACTTTTGGAGTATTGATAATGATCCGAGGAAAGTCCAACAAAAACTAAAGGAGTATTTCACAGCAGTGTTACTGAAATTTTAAAATAGATTACAGTGATCTACTTAAATCTTACATTTTTGAGTTTACTTATGCTTTGAGGTGGAGAAATAAGCCCCCTTCATGAAGATGACATATATTTCAAATTCCATTCCCTTTTTCCTATAGCTACGAGATGCCTAAAAAATAATTCCTCTTATTTTATGGCCAGTAATAATTTGTTTTCTTTACATAAGTAACAGTTTTTTCCAAATCAATGGCATTATGACCAAATTTTTTTAGAACTGCATTCTTCCACCTTGATAAACTACAAAATATCTCCCAAAAGTGAACCTCTCACCTTTTTTTAGCTCAGTAATTGTAACTGAAAATAGAATCACATGGTGGTCTTTCATGTCACTACCTCACAGAGTAACAGATAAATGGAATTTTTTTTTTTGTTTTTAAAATATTATGGCTTTAGAAAGATTTAACATGTATGACTTCAGACTGATTCACATTGTGTTACTAAGGAAGGAGATATAAAAACTTTACGTCTGATTTTCCAATAGCATATTCCACAAAACATCTCTCAAATAAAATTCAAACTATTAAACTGTTAAAAGATACAAATTAGGAAGTGAGATAAAGATAAAACTGCAAAAGCATATATTGCCTAGCATCTCAGTTTTATTTTC